TCCTGTATTCATACTCATGTTTATTCTTATACCTATCATCTTGTAAGCGATTGACAAATCAAATCAAATCAATAAATGAAAATAAAATGTATAGGCAAGTGTTTCAGCCTGGCTCCTAGTGGGCTGCCTCCAGCAGCGGGCAAGCTGGCACTGATGGATGTAGAATGAGCTCTTCGGTTGGTCTTGACCAACACAAAAGAACATGATTGTCTGCTGAAGATTCTGCAGAGGATGGAGCCCAGTGAAGACAGGCAGGATGACCATCCAGCAGAGGTCATCGTCTCTCCATGGTTTCTCCTGCAAAGGTCCATCCTACCTTCTGTGTGACCTCCAGGCTCTCAGCTCTTTCCTCCTCAAAACCTTCATCTCTTCTCTTCCTCGTCTACTTGTCTTCCACTCAACCAATCAATCAGAATGGAGTTGGAAGGGAACTTAGTCCAACCCATTCCCTCCCTAATTCTTCTTCTCCTTGTATGTTCTTCCTCCTTCCTCCATTATTCCATTCCTCTACTTCATGCCTCCTTAAATCTGTCCTAGTTCCCCCCACCCTTTTCTTCCCTCTTTTTCTCCTTCCTTCTCTTAACCAGGTTTGCGGATCAAATCTCTCTCCAGGGTTTGGATCATAAGGAAGAGGAATGGCCACAAAAGCCACATCCATCCCATTGTAAGCCATTTCTGGCTCCAGATTCTCCACGGGAATCCAGACAGAAGGAAACGGTTCGGGAGAAGAGATGGATTGGAGGTGGAATCTGTGCAAAAGCAAGGATGGAATTGGGAAACCAGAAAGGAAAAAGAAGACTTCAAAAGTGGGAAAAGAAAAGCGTGGATGAGACTGCAAAGGACAAGCAGCTGAAGGAGAAGACACGTTTGCAAAAAGCAACCTCCATGAACCTACTACAGATCCAGCAGCATACTTACAACAGTTCATTTAGTGACCATTCAAAATTACAACGGCACTGAAAAAAAGGTGACATATGACCACTTTTTTACACTTATGACCGTTGCAACACACACACACATACACACACACACCATGGTCACGGGGATCACAATTCAGCGGCTTGGCAACTGACTTATGTTTATGATGATTACAATGTCCTGGGGTCATGCGATCCTCTTTTGCGACCTCATGACAAGCAAACTCAACGCGGGAAGTCAGATTCACTTAACAAATGGATTATTAAATATCTATGGAGATTCTGCCTCGTCCAGGTCAGGGTTGTCCCAAAGGTGCTTTTTTCTTCAGGAGGCAATGTTTTGCTTTGAAGACATTTTGCTTCTCCTTCCAAGAAGCTTCTTCATCTTTGAGCTGAAGTCCAATTCAGCCTCTGGAAAAGGCACCTTTGGGACAACTGTGTTACTATTTTAACACCTGCAGTGGTTCACTTAACAAATGTGGCAGGAGCAGAGGTATGTACTGAGCCGGTTCGGACTGGTTCTGGAGAACTGGTAGCAGAAATTTTGAGTAGTTCGGAGAACCAGCAAATACCACTTCTGACTGGCCCCGCCAACCCCATCTATTCTCTGCCTCCCAAGTCCCAACTGATCGGCTGGATCTCCTTTGGTTGTCCTGCACAGGAGAACGGAGCTAGAAAGCAGGTTAGTGAGGTGGGGAGGGAAGGGGGATTTTACAGTATCCTTCCCCTGCCATGCCCACCAAGCCACGCCCATAGAACCGGTAGTAAAAAAAAAATTGAATCCCACCACTGGGCAGGAGAGGTCATAAAATGGGGCAAAACTCACTCGACAAATGTCTTACTTATCGACAGAAATTTGGGGGTCAATTGTGATCACAAGTCGAGGACTATCTATGCACATGTCCAGAATATCCCAAGATTGTTGACTGAGTCAAAGGTTCCAAAATATTCTTGAGGAAGACTGTGGCAAACCAGCTTTACCGCCAAGAAAGCGACATATACGGGCTCATGAAGTTCCCAGGAGCCAAGTTTGAGAGGGAAAAGGCTTCCTATCTGCTGTCAAATCAGACTTGTTACGCGGTTGACAGAACTTGCCATGAACTTTTGAGAGGGGGAGGATGAAGACGGAGATGGTTGGGGAATGAAAGTAGAGATTGAACCCTGTCGAGATATTGCCTCAAGGTCATCCAGCTGGAATAAGGAGAGAGCCACACACCAAGCCAAGCTTGGACTGAAAATGTCTTGCATGGGCTTCATTGGTTCCCCGTGGGGTGAGCAGCGAGGGACAGTTGGGTGAGTGGGGAGTTGAACTTGGGGATTTGGGCACGCAATTCTCCGTCCTGGCGACACAAAACTGCAGTACGTTTGATGTAATAAAACGATGACTTTCTCAACAAATGGAGCTAAGGATCATTTCTATTTAGAGATGTAACAACATTTGATGAGTACTTAGCTGGAAGAATGTTAAGAAGTTACAAACAGTGATGAGGTCGATCCAAATTCTTGCTTTTTAAAAACAACAACATAGACATCCAGAGGTGGGATGCTACCAGTAGCTCTGAAGAGCAACAGACACCGAACGGTTCAGTGTCTGCTGCTGTTTGGCCACCTGCCCACCTGGGCTCTTACCTGTCCTTTATTTCCTGCTTTTTCAACCTCAACTGCTTTGCGCGACACCGCTGCGGTTGAAAAAGCAGGAAAAAAGAGGCTTTTCAAACGCTGCGCACCCGCGTGCAACACTTTTCAGCTGTCCGGGCAGCACAGCTCAATGATGTTTTACACGCGCACGCAAAATGTAACCGGTAGTTACACCGGTTGAATCCCACCCCGGTAGACATCTCCGTCAAATCGCCAGCAATCGTACCCCATTGGAGTCCTTATTGTTTAGCGCAGGGGTGTCAAACTCAAGGCCTGGGGTGCCAAATCCGGCCTGCGTGGTGCTTCAATCTGGCCTGTGGCCCTCCTGCGCTCCGTTTTTGCTGGCAGAGTGCTCAGCCCACCACATGAGTGATGTCATGCTGGCTATGCCACCCCCCTCTGGCCACACACCCCACGCCCCCTCCAAGGTCAAACACAACCCTGATGCCGCCCTCAATGAAACCGAATTTGACACCCCTGGAACTTCAGCCCGTTTGCAACCTAAGTCTGAAGGCGTTGCGTTTTTTCCAGCATTCTCTCCTAAAATTGGAGGCCACAGCCCTAAACCCCTCCAAAAATAACAACGAAGGACAGCCATTACGAGCCAGCTGAATTATATTGGCTCCTCTTTTTTTTCTTTTTTTCTTTTTAATGCATTTAAAAATAAAAATTAACGCACGCCACGGCCCTCCTCAATTTGGCAGGGAGAACACAGGCTCCATTCAAAAAGCTCTTGAATGAGGCTGTATAACTCAGTCGTACTTCAAATGGTATGCGTGTATGTTTTTGAAGCATTCCTTATCTTGGATTTCAGGGGAAAGAAAAAAAAAGTGGGGGGAAACCTGTAGTTTGAGGCTTTTTTTAAAAGCACCCAGAGTTGCTGCTCACGTAAACGCCGCTTTCCATGATCTAGATTAGAATTCTAAAGAGCTGCATTCAGATCTAAATTAAATGCTTACTTTATGGGTTATCGGATTACAAGGCGAGAAGGCAGCGTTAAGCCAGGGATGCCAAGGTATCCCATTGGGAAAAAAAACCTCTGTTTTTGCAAGCTGTAGAGTTTGGGGATCCCTAGCGCCGCATAACGGAGTGAGCTCCCGTTCCTGGTCCCAGCTTCTGCCAACCTAGCAGTTCGAAAGCATGTAAAAAAATGCAAGTAGAAAAATAGGGACCACCTTTGGTAGGAAGGGAACAGGCGTTCCATGCGCCTTCGGTGTTTAGTCATGCCGGCCACATGACCACAGTGACTTCCTCGGACAGCGCTGGCTCTTCTTCGGCTTTGTAACGGAGATGAGCATCACCCCGTAGAGCTGGGAACGACTAGCGCGGATGTGCGAGAGGAACTTTAGAGTTTGGGAAAATTTAGTGTAACCTTAAAATATAGGTCAGGGGTCCCTGAATTCTTTGGCTCATCAGCTCCCTTTGTGAAGTTTTAGACTGTTCATGGACCCCCAAATATTTATTATATGAAAATAATTTAATAAATACTTTAACTATTGGCACTAGTACTAATAATGACCAGTCAAAGCCCCCGGCTGACCATCTGTCCTTAGGTAATACCGTCTCCTTGCCAGCCTTCAAAATTAGGGATTGGTGTGAAGCTCTAAAGAGACCCCAAAAGATTAATTGAACCCCAATCAATTAAGCTTCCATCATTTATCAATTGCTTATTGACCCCTTGACATTTATGAACCCCTTTTGACCTTGGAATACTCATCAACCCCTTGGAAACATCAACCCTTAGAGTTGATGCTGTCCACTTTGGAGAACCCTGGTTTAGATCAGTAGATCAATCCCAAATAAAAAAAACGTCTGAGGAAACCATGGGAGATTTCAGTAGAGATCAGTTGAATTTTAAAAATAAAACTCAATAGGAGAGGGGGAGAGGATAAATCTACCTTCCGGCATTTGGGCTCAGTCTACGAATAACTTCTCTTGTAATGTAGGCTGATGTGAGTTGTATTTCATACAACCTCTGTCTTACAGGCAAAGATTGCCTCAGAGTTCATGTTCAACCTGACCCTAGGGATTGAAAACAAGTCTTTCTAGCATGATCTCCCTTTGCAAAGCTTACAAAAGCCCCAGAGACATGAGTAGAGTAGAGAGTAGAGAGTAGAAAATAGAGTAGAGTAGAGTAGAGTAGAGTAGAGTAGAGTAGAGTAGAGAGTAGAGAGTAGAGAGTAGAGAGTAGAGAGTAGAGAGTAGAGTAGAGTAGAGTAGAGTAGAGTAGAGTAGAGGAATGGAATGGAATGGAATAAAATAGAAAATGGAAGAGAAGATGGAACAGAATAGAATGGGAGGGGAGAGGAGAGGAGGAGAATATTCTTTATTGGCCAAGTGTAATTGGTCACACAAGGAATTTGTCTAACACAGCATGGCATCTCCACCACAGTCAATGTGAGTCCAACAAGACAGAAGAAACATCAACCAACTTTTCATACTTACTCGGACACCTGGGGTTCCTGGAACGCCAGGGGGGCCTTCTTTCCCTTGGTCCCCACTTTGCCCTTTGTCTCCATGTTCCCCTTCTGGGCCTGGTTGTCCTTTGTCACCCTGAAAGAGACAAATAGGTAACCCACTTTTTCCATTTGTTCGGGAAGAAGGATGACAGCCGCTGCTTTTCTCGTCCTCTGAAATTCACCACGTTCTCCTTTACACGCGCGTAGAAACATAAGAAGGATTGAAATGGCCAGAACACCTCTACCCATAAAAATAAAATCAAAGATCTGACCGCTGGATCTACAGACTCAACAAAATGGGATGTAAAAAAACTTCCTGCATGTTTTACTTTTAAAAAGGTACACATTGTTAGATCTCTGCTCTCCTTGAGACGCCGGTTGTTGTTGTTTTTTTACCTGTGAGGACCTTCACCAGATTAAATCCACCTGAAGTGAAGGAAGGAAAAAAAGAAAGAAAGCAAAAATAGAGAGTTCTCTTAAAAAGGGATTCTTCTTGGTCTAATCTTGAGTGTTCTTACAGCAGAATAGCAAAAGCTATAGCCCTTAGACTTATACACCGTTTCACAGTGCTTTTACAGCCCCCTCTAAGCGATTTACAGAGCCAGCGTATCGCCCCCAACAATCTGGGTCCTCATTTGACTGACCTCGGAAGGATGGAAGGCTGAGTCAACCTTGAGCTGTCAGGATCGAACTGCTGGCAGTCGGCAGAGTTAGCCTGCCATGCTGCATTCTAACCACTTCACCCCCACCCCTTCTATACTTGGCTGGAATGACATTACAAGAGGATTTTTTTTAAAAAAAATATTGAGCAGAAATGTTGTTTTCCTCTGGAATGGAAAAACTGAGTTCCTGTAATCTCAAGAATCTAACGAAGAAGGAAACAGAGCTTGTAGAGGGAACTCTTCTAAATGTGGTTTCTCAGATTCATCCTACAAGAGAAGACCTTGGGCAAGTGAGAGTCAGAGAAACAGGACCAGGTTCTAAGCAAATCAGAAGAAGGGAAGAAAAGCAAGTTACCTTGAGTCCATCTGGTCCCTCTAAGCCACTGTCTCCTTCAAGACCAGGTTCTCCCTTAGAAGAAACATGGAAAGATCATTAGAACTTCTGCGTTGGTCAGATAGTTTCTTCTACCTTCCCAGAATTGCTGTACACTCGAAATGAGTTTCCTTTGAATGAGCTGTATTTATTTCAGAGTCTAATGATGGCATTGGAAGGTGCCATCCTTTATAACAAGACTTGATCTCGCATCTTGATGTTCTCACCGTTGGTGAGAACTTCAAATTCACCATTAGCAAATCCCAACCTTTCATTTGGAACCTACTTGTGCTCAAAATTAACCTTCCAGGAAAAAAAAATTCTAACATTTCTTGGCCTGCAAATCAAATTTCAGAACAAATAAAAGAGAATCTACATAGCTCAGGGTTGAACTGTGGAGTCCTTGATGCTCTCTGAGCTTGGTGGTTTCCTTGCAGACATTTCATTATCCAAGTAGGTAACATCCTCCTCCCTGGGAACAAACCCCACACTCACTAACAACGATGACATTACCTAGTTGGGTCATGAAAACATTTGCAAACAAACCACCAAGCTTAGAGAGCATCAAGGACCCCACAGTTATTTCAGAACTATCCATATATTTTATTGGGACAATAAATGCCAACATGTCCATGTAGCTAGAGGAAGAGGGACATGGATAGAATAGCATATAAAATAATAGAATTGGAAGGGACCTTGGAGGTCTTCTAGTCCAACCCCCTGCTCAGGCAGGAAACCCTATACCATTTCAGACAAATGGCTGTCCAATCTCTTCTTAAAAACCTCCAGTGATGAAGCTCCCACAACTTCTGGAGGCAAGTTGTTCCACTGGTTAATTATTCCAACTGTCAGGAAATTTCTCCCCTAAGTTGCTTCTCTCCTTGGTTAGTTTCCACCCATTGCTTCTTCTCCTGCCCTCAGGTGCTTTGGAGAATAGCTTGACTCCCTCTTCTTTGTGGCAACCCCTGAGATATTGGAAGGCTGCTATCATAGGATAGTTTTCTGCTTACCCGTTGGCCGACCAGTCCTTGCTCTCCAGGAATCCCCAGTGGACCAAGATCACCCTAGAAGAAAAGAGATTTTTGAAGTTAGCTTTCAAGACATGTTAAGAAGAGGGAGGAACATGTATGAAGACATGACCATTGGCAATTGCCAAGAAGGATATCAGAAAGTCAATTTTGGGGCATAAGAAGCGGGGCTTATAATACAAGGGGTATAGAATCCATAAGACAATGTTCCAGCCTATAATGTAAAGGATGCAAGGGATAGTCCAAAAAGGCAAATGAAAGTTTGCCGAGCATCACACACCAACTTCCACCCAAGTCAAATCATACCATCCTTGTTTCTGGATCTTCAGTCTGAAAAGTCCTCACTTCTTCTACTTACGCTAAGAAAGAAGCTAAACCCCACAATTCCAGGTGAAAAAAGCAAAGATGCAATTGCCCGTATCGCAACAAAGAAGTCCTGAAGACTGGTTTGGAGGGTGAAGTAAGACAAAAATCACCATAAGTTCAATGCAGAAATACATGAAGGAAATTAATTGGGCGTACAGTAATTCTGGGAAGGTCGACGGAATCATCTGACTAAAAATTTATGGAGATTCTTAAATCATCCAGGTCAGGTTATCCCAAAGGGGCTTTTTCAAGAAGCAACTGGACTTTCTGGTTTTTCTTTGAAGACACTTTGCTTCCCATCCAAGAAGCTTCTTCAGCTCTGACTGGATTCTGACCTTCCATTCCCCACCATCCAATCAGAGCTGAAGAAGTTTCTTGAATGAGAAGTGAAATGTCTTTAAAAAAACCCTACAAAGTCCAGTTGCCTCTTGAAAAAGCACCTTTGGGACATCTGGCTAAAACAGAAGTTGTGAACATTGTAGAAGAGGTAGAAGATGGATTGTTGGCTTCAAATGCTGCCTTTTAAAGAAGACAGAACTCCAAAATGCAGTTCCTTGAAGGAGCAGCTTGTACCACTAATCCTAACCATGAGCAAACACAGTTTTTAGAAGAAAGACTGAAGACTTCTGCTACAGATGAAAAAAAAATGCTTCCTGTTTGAAACATGAACTTGCTCACCAGGATTCCGTCTGTTGGTGGAAAGCCAGGCAAATAAAAGGTTTTTTTATTCCTGAGATGGTAAAAAGAGGAGGTGGATAAACATCACGCAGGACCAAGAGAGATGAAAGAGAGAGAGAGAGAGAAAGAGAAAGAGACCCTCGGAAAGTTTGAAGACACAGTAGCTCCAGCAATGTCTTGGAAGGCTTTCCAAAGGAAACAGACCAGCTGGAGGAGAAAAGCACAGGAAGTCGGAAGGAAGCGGAATTTTTATTGCATGGAATGGAATGGAATGGAATCTCATAAATGAACTGCAAGGTGTGATCTCTTTCTTCCCTCCCCTGCATCTCTCCCTTGCATCCACCCACTCACCCACCCACCCATCCTCCCGACCTTCTTTTCTCCCTCCGTCCCTCTGTCTCTTCCTTCCCTCATTCCTTCCTTTCCATCTATGATTTATAGATGAGCCACGGTGGCGCAGTGGTTAGAGCGCAGTATTGCAGGCTCCTTCTGCTGACTGCCGGCTGACTGCAATTTGGCAGTTCGGATCTCACCAGACTCAAGGTTGACTCAGCCTTCCATCCTTTCCAAGGTCAATAAAATGAAGACCCAGATTGTTGAGGGCAAGAGGCTGACTCTGTAAACTGCTTAAAGGGGGCTGTAAAGCATTGTAAAGCAGTATATAAATAAGACTAGGTGCTATTGCTATTGGTCTGCCTGCCTGCCTGCCTCTGCCTCTCTCTGCCTGCCTATCCTCTGTCTGTCTGTCTGTCTGTCTGTCTGTCTGTCTGTCTGTCTGTCCATCTATCTATCTATCTATCTTATCTAATCTATCTATCTATCTATCTATCTATCTATCTATCTATCTATCTATC